GCTTGTATCTTACCCCCTTCATGTGATGCTGAGTTCTCGCAGATGTAGATGTATCCTGGCTGTTGTACTGCATCCACTGGTGTCTCTTTTAGGAATAGTTGTATTTATTGTATTTTCATAAATATATATGTTTTGGGGAGGAGATTTCCTCTGAACTACTCGTGCCGCCATCTTCCCATGATCCCCTTGAGATGGATTTAATTATTAAATTAATTATTAACTCCAGCTCCATTTTAGTAATGAGCAACTGAGATGCAGTGAGGTTAAGTAATTTGCCAAGGTTACACAGCAAATAAGGTTTAGATCTGGGATGTCAACCCAGGCCTGTCTAGCTACAAATCCATGCTGTTGTAACTATTCAACAAATATTTTTGTGTGTGTGTGTGCTAGACATATTTTTGAAAAGCTTCATTGTAGTTCCATTGTGTGTTTTTATTACTCAGTTTCCCTCTTGTATCTACTCATTATGAACTACAGCACTGGTATCTCTGATTCCCTGTATTTCCTCATGTTTTTTGCATCCTGGTGGATAATAACCTGCAAAATACAGGTCTTGCTGGATTATGTCATAGAGTCAAGATTTTTAGAGATTATATCATCTACCTTCTGCATTTTTCAGATGCAGGCTCAGAGAGGTCTGGTAAGTTTCCTAAACTCACAAAGCATGACACAGTAGTGGAAGAACTTCTAGTACCCTGTCCTAATCGCTCTAGTCTCACATTCAGGGATGGACAGAATGGAAGGGACCATCTTTTCAGAAATTCCTTTCTGAAGTGGATAGGATATTTATAGGGCTGTGTTGGGTGACCCGTGGAAATCAGTGGACGTGGAGGAGAAGGTCCCTGCTCTTTTGAGGCTTCAGGTCTACTTCTGGAAAAGGCTCACAGCAGCAAGAGGGTGGCTGGGAGGAAAGAGACCAAGGGCCCTTGTTGGGGGCTCTGGCCCAGCTTTGCTGCAGTCTCTCTCTCTCCCTCCCTGTGATTTAGCTGTCCTGGACCTGCTTGTTCAGTGGTCCTCTCCACGCTCCAGCAAGTCTCTATTATACCCTGTTGTGTTTTTTTTCCTGGTCTGCTTAGATCAAAAAGTCCCACTGGCTCAGAGGTAAGGCCTTATTCATCCTTGCTTCCCATGCCTGGCCTAAAGCAGAATGCAGAAACCCTGTGCAGGGAACAAGGCAGTTGTTAACCTCAAACGCAAGAAACCCAGGAAGCCTTGCCCACTCCAAGCTCCTGAAGGGAGTCACGCAGACAGACGTCACTGTTACCCCTTTACACCTCCCTCCTGAGAAAGGAACCCTCCGGATCACTTACTATCTGGGAGGATCAGAAGGAAAGGGGCCTCCACGGGGCTGGGAGGGACCTATACCCACTCCTTTTGTAACATCCCACCTCACAGGGAGACAGAAAGGAAACAGGATGGGCTGTCCAAGGTACAGGAAATTAGCTATGGTTGTTCAGTGGGTTAGAATAATCAAAGTGTTCCTCCAGATAGCAAATAAAACCCAAGAAGGCTCCTGAGTGACCGACCACTAACGCATCCATCACACTCCCCTGAGGGTGTTGTTCAGAACCCAGGAAGGGTGTGACCTTTGACACAGATGACCAGCCACCAGAGCCTCAGGCTCCTCCTCCCCAGGCGCTGGGCAGTGGAGGCCCTCGGGACTTCTCGGACCTGCTTTCTCCGGCTGTGCTGTAGACTCCAGCACACTGCTGCTGACCTCTAAAAAGAGCCTCTTAAAAAAAAAAAAAAGGGGTGTGCTGAGTGGAGCCCTGGCGGGGAACCGCGCTCGCAGACATAATTTGGCTCAAATCACACTGCATATATAGAGAGTACACGGGTGCTTAGCCCAAGCCTGAGAATTACTGGAATCTTCTGGTAAGACAAATTTCAACTACAATGGGAGTTCTGTCTAGGAAGATGCAGCCTCTGAATAAGTTGATGGCTATTTCAAAACCTCAAAACCCGGCTCTGCATGAACAGAGTGAGGTCAGGAGTACTGATAAGTCTTGGCAGCAGGAAACCATCTCCATCATGGAGACATATGACTGTGAGGCCTCTCGTCAAAAGTTCAGACACTTCCAATATTTGGAAGTGTCTGGACCTCATGAAGCCTTTAGCCAACTCTGGGAGCTCTGTCTTCAGTGGCTGAGACCAGAGGTTCATACAAAGAAGCAGATCCTGCAGCTGTTGGTGCTGGAACAGTTCCTGACAATTCTCCCTGAAGATGTCAGGACGTGGGTGAATTTACAGCATCCAAAGAATAGCAAAGAAGTGGTGACCCTTATAGAAGAGGTGATCGAGATGCTTAAAGAGGAAGAGATACCCTGCAAGAAATCTGTCCTCCAGAAGGGGAGCGTCAGGACGGAAAAAATGGAAGCTGACTCACTAACAGGCAAATCCCAGAGCATCTACTTTGCAAACCAGTTGAGATCTCTGAGGAAAAAAGATGGATAATGAAGAAAGAAATCCCAAGAACAACTGTTTTTGGTTTTTATACTTTTCTCATATTATCAATTTAGTTCTTTTCTTTTGGTGTCATTAATCTACAGTTGCATGAGGAGTATTGTGTTTGCTGGGCTCCCCACTTCACCAGGTCCCCCCACAAACCCCATTATAGTCACTGTCCATCAGTATAGTAAGATGCTGCAGAATCCCTACTCATCTTCCATTGTGGAAAGCAGTATGGAGGTTCCTCAAAATGCTCAAGGTGGAGATACCATTTGACCCAGGAGTTCCGCTTCTGGGAGTTTACCCTGAGAATGCAGTGGCCCAGTTTGAAAAAGACACATGCACCCCTATGTTTAACACAGCGCTATTTACAATAGCCAAGAAATGGAAGCAACCTAAGAGTCCATCGGTGGGTGAATGGATAAAGAAGATGTGGTGCATATACACAGTGGAATATTATTCAGCCATAAGAAGAAAACATCCTATCATTTGCAACAATATGGATGGAGCTAGAGGGTGTTATGCTTGGTGAAATAAGCCAGGCGGAGAGAGACAAGTACCAAATGGTTTCACTCATATGTGGAGTATAAGAACAGAGAAAAACTGAAGGAACAAAACGCAGCACAATCGCGGAACCCAAGAGTGGACTAAGAGTTGTCAAGGGGAAATGGACTGAGGAGGATGGGTGGGAGGGGAGGGATGGGGGTGGGGAGGAGGAAGGAGGGCATTACGATTAGCATGTGTAATGTGGGGCGGGGGCACGGGGAGGGCTATACAACTTCAGTGAATTTTAAACATTTTATGGTTAAAGTAGTAGAACCTCCATTAAAAAAATATTTTGCTAATCTTGTATATGAATACAATAAAAGTGGGGTTAAAAAAAAAAAGAGCCTCTTGCAGGTTTTCAGAAGACAGGTCTTCTCTTCCTGCCAATAACATGTGGACTGGCGGTTGTGGGGCAACAGTGGGCTCCTTTGTTCCCAGGTTTACAGTGCACATTCCCCACCCCCAGCCCTCCACTGTTGTTTGCCTAATGTCACTGACCCTGTTTTAATTAAGTCCCCGTTTTTTGTTGGACTTGGTGCCAAGAAGCCTAAATGGGTAGCGTCTGTTTGAGTGGGTCTTTTTTTTTTTTTTCCAATTCTATTTTAGGAAACTTCGAAGGGTCATTCCTCTGCAGTTGGAGATAAGGGTTTAAGAGTCTTTTTCTCAAGAAATAACATTCTCCTAAGTGAACATTCTCTTTGTTTTTCTTTCTCTCTCATGTAACTGAATTCTAAAATTCAAGAGGCTTTTTCTGGCTCCTGATGGAAACGGGAGATAGTGATGTAATTTGCAGGCCTTTATTAAATGGAGGAAACTTCACCTGGACTCGCCCTTATGAAATTCCCGCAGAGTTTTAAGAGTCGGACAGGGAAGGCATGGTGATTGCCACTGCTCATGGCTGTGCACACAGATGCAGTGGTTGGTGTATTAGCTTCCTCAGGGCTGCTGTAACAAAACACCACAAATTTCCAGAAACAGAAATTTATTGTCTCACAGTTCTGGAAACCTGAAGTCTGAAATAAGGGTGTCGGCAGAGTCGTGCTCTCTCTGAAATCTGTAGGGGAGAATTCGTCCTCGCCTCTGCGGGCTCCTGTGGTCTGCCAGCGATCCCAGGCTCTCCTCGGTTGTAGACACCTCCCTCCAGTCCCTGCCTGTGTCATGGCGTGTCACCTCCCCATATGTCCCTGTTGTCACCTCTTCTTACAAGGATACCAGTCATACTGCTTTAGGGCCCTCCCTAATGGCCTCATTTTAACTTAATTACATCTGCGGAGACCCTATTTCCAAATAAGGTCACAGATACTGGGGTTAGGGTTTCAATATATCTTCAGAGGAGGCACAGTTCAGGCCATTAGAGCTGGCTTGGAATTTTCTCTCACCCAGAAAACATTTGGATCTGTTACCACTCTAGCGCAGGTGACCAGTATCAGCCCCCGCTTACAGAGCATTTAGCACATGCCGGCCACTGTGCCATGTTATTTCACAGAAGCACCTTGCAGTAGGTAGGTATTAGTATATGCTCAGTTTGTAACTGAGAAAAATAAAGGCCCAGATCTGTCTCACTTCAGCATCCAGGTTCTGAACCACTCCACATACCAAGCACATACATTGCTTACAGAGTATCTGTTGTGTGCTTGACACTCTTCAGGCCCTGGGGTTAGAGCAGTGAGCAAGACAGATGCTGCCCTGACCTCATGGAACATGCAGCCTAGTGGAAGGAGATGTGCATCAGAGGCATGGTTTCCCACACAGCAGTTCCTAACTCACGGTGCCATAGCACCATTTCCAGTCAGGAACTCTTTCCTCTGCTGCCATCACCTGAGATCTGCTGTAGGAACAATGACGGCTGAGGTGAAGAGCAGTGAGCACCCCCTCCAGGAGGCCCTCACCTCTGCTTTGACAGGCGCTCCAGTGCTTTGTTTTCAGGTCATAAGCATCTCTGAAAGATTTTGTTGCACAGCATTTACTACGGCTAGGTTATGCTGTGGAACAAACAGCCCTAAAAATCTCGGTGCTTAAAACAAGGTTTATCCTGAGCTTCTGCCTCCTGTCCATGTGGGTGAGACAAGGGCTCTGCCCTGTGTCCTCCTTCCTCATTGCAGGACGGGCCTAATGACAGGGCCCCACTGGAGACTGTGCAGCTTGCCGTGGCAGAGGAGAAAGAGGAGGTGGTGAATCACACACTGGTCCTTAAACACTTGCACCCCAAAGCATTCCACCAACCCGGTTCCGGGATGAACAGCCCAGAACAAATGTGCCTCTCAGGCCAAGTGAGTTAAGAATGTGAAAGAACAAAGCAGGTTGGTTCAGCGTGAATCCTTTCCGTTCCCATCCACACGCTTGTGCCAAAGCTCTGTGCAGGAGCAGGCCGCCCCACTTCTCTGCCACTCCTCAGCTCCCGTCAAGGCACCCTGAAATCCACACATCAGCTAAGAGAGAACCCAGTTCTGTTTCTAGAAACTAAAGTAGGAAAGTCCACATTTGAAAAGCCATGAATCAGGGGACAGTAACTTAGGTTCCTGAACAATTCTCTGCCTGGTTCCTTTGTACAGCAAACTCCCGAGTACATGTATAATATAATTTTAGATGCAGGTGTTTTGTTTACTCACAACTTTTCAAGAATACACTGTATGTTATGTAAAGCGTGTGTTCACTTAAATCGTGGATTCCATAGGTTGGCAATTTAACCGTATTCACTATTTATATATATTTTTTCTCTCATGTTCTAAAATTGCTTCCAAGAAGTAAACAGGAAAAACTTGGGGGAAGTAATCAGTAGCCAAAATTATTTTTGTTTTTTCCCTGTACCAGTTAGTGGCCATTCACAGTGAGAGGTTCTCATGAGTGCCTCTGTCCCAGATGCTGTCCTCACAGTCCAGGAGCCACAAAGGACATTCTGTTCTAATTATTCAGAGGCGTCATTAGCCTTGATGAATTCTCAGGTACCATTAGCTCACTGCAGGATGTTCAGTGTCTTGGGATCCACAGGGCAGCCTGTAATTCACTCAAAACCTGGAAATGCCTGTGTGTCTCAGCAGAGCCAGGCCCAGGGCTTCCTGGGGCTTCCCACCTTCCTGTTTCCTCTTGTGCCCCAGAGCAGGATGGTAACGTCATGCCAGCTGTCAAAGGCAGTGTCTCATGGGGCATCATTCATGTTGGGGTTTGGGGTCCTTCTCTTGGAGAGAATGAAACAGACCCAGTTGTGGACTCTGAGAGCTCCTTGGCACCTAACTTTCTACCTTATTCATCCCTACAGCGCCACCAGGAAATCAGAGGCAGGCTCACTCTTGGACAGCATCACTTTAACACCCCCCACCTAGACTTGCAAACTGGCCAGACAAGGAGTGAGATTCACATGTCTGCAGGGCTTTACAGTGGGCCGAGTTTTTGTGAACGTGCTTTGTTGATCTTACCAGCTACCCACTAATGGGGAAGCCATTGTGCCCATTTTAATGAAGAGAAAACTAAGGCACAGAGAGTTTAAGGGGCTTACCCCAAATCACAAACCTAAAGGAGCCATGTTTCTGGGATCCAAGAGACCTGTGTTTGAATCATTATTACCAACAGCTTCATATATCTCCCTCTTAATCTTGTCTATACAGTGCTGATGGTGGCCACCTCATAGTGCTGCACGAAAATTAAAATAGTGTACACAAAAGCCTGACAAGGTTCCTGGGACAGAGATACTCCAAAAACCCTATTAAATGGATAGAGGGAAGGATGGATGGGTGGATGGATGGATGGTTGGATGGATGGATGGATGGATGGATGGATGGATGGATGGGTGGATGGATGGATGAGTGAATGAATGATGGGTGCATAAATGAATGAACAAAGCAGTATTGCCCTTTTGTGACTTGTTTTCCCTTCCAGGCCACCCTTGCTCTGCCTGTCTTTAAGTACTAGCTCTTGCAGGGGACATGGAAACCTTACAGTGTGAACTGTGCATCACCAAAGACCCTCTTATTTTGCCACCACTCCATTACCCACATAATGCAAGATTTTCTTCTACCAAACTCTATGACTGCCTTCCTGCTTCACCAAAGGCACATATAACTGTCAGTTATAGCTCCTGACAAAAATGCACATTGACTTGGTATAATTGTAGTTAAAATACAAATCAATCATTAGCTACTAACATTTACTGAGGATTTACTAGGAGCCAAGTACTTCACTAGGCCTTTGTCCAGCATTTGGACCCAGGCTGTCCAACTCCTGAATCTGGGCGCTTAACCGCTACACTAAGCAATGCTAAGAGCTGCCATTTGTTGAGTGCCTACTAGATGGGCAAGAGACACCCACAGGGTCCTGTGTGAACCTGCAATCCATTTGATTATCATCATAATTCCTCACTGTGCTCATTTTACTTCCTCACCAACATACATCAAAGAGAATGTTTCATTAGTGGCCCCAGTGCACATCTCTGTTTGGCACGTTTCACTCTGTACCTCTAGTTGTTTGTTGGGAACTACATCCCCAGAGAGAACAGGCAGTTTGGGTCAGTGGAGAGAGAGAGAGCTGGAATCAGGACCCTGGTTCTAGCAGGTTCTACGTATGAGCTGTGTGACCTTGAACAAGTCACTTTACCTCTCTGGACTTTAATGTCCTCATTTATAAAATGAGTCTTTGGACTAGACAGCTCAGAATCCCCATCGA